GGCTTCTTCAGGACAGCCACCCGTCCGCCTCGTCCGAGGATTCCAGCTCCTCTTCTCCCACGCTCTTTCCCGTCACCACCCCAGCCTCCTCCGGAGTGCCTTCGCCTACCGATGAAGTAAAGCAGGCCGACATGCTCACACCGCACGCCGCGCTCGAAAACGTCACAAGATCCACAAGAGCCCTCTTTGAGCAGTGGAGGCCCACCTCGCACTTCCTCGGCCCGCATGGCTGGATGAACGACCCCTGTGGCCCCTCGTACGACCCGCGCACTCGCCTCTATCATCTCTGGTACCAGTGGAATCCAAACGCCTCCACCTGGGGGTCCATCTGCTGGGGCCATGCTTACAGCTACGACATGATCCACTGGACCTCTCGCCCGTATCCGGTCATCGAACCCGGCAGCAATCACGACTCTGAAGGCGTCTTCACTGGATGCGTGCTCCACCGCGCGCCACTGGGCACCGCTGCCGAGGCAGCCGAGACGGGCGAGATGACCGCAATCTACACCGCTGTCTCCAAGCTGCCCATCCACCACACGCTGCCCTACAACTTCGGCAGTGAAAAGGTCGTCCTCTCCACTTCCAAGGACGGTGGAGAGACGTGGGTGCCCCACGGCCTCGTGCTTGACGGGCCGCCCGAGCATCTCGATGTTATTTCGTGGCGCGACCCTTACATCGCCCCTTGGCCGGTGCTCGATGCTGCCCTTGGTCGCACCGACCAGCAGCCTGGACTGTACGCGCTCATTGCCGGAGGTATCAAGGACACCACGCCCACCATTTTCGCCTACTCGATCGACAACACCGACCTCAGCCAGTGGACCTTCGTCGGCACGCTCGCCGACGTGGGCCGCAACCACAAAGCCGCCCCCTACGGCGTGGACCTCGGCAAGAACTGGGAGGTGGCCAACTTCTTCACCATCTGTGACACGGCTGGGCCCGCGTCGGCAGAGTACCTTCTCATCAACGTCGAGGGGTGCACCGAGCCCGGGCCCGCGCGCGCGGCCGTGTACATGAAGACGCTGCCCGACGTGCAGCGCGATGCAAACGGTGAGATTCGGCTGCAGCCTGCCCACGTGGGACTGTTGGACCACGGATGTCTGTATGCCGCGAGCAGCTTCCACGACGAGCAGCACGATCGCAGGATCATGTGGGGCTGGATCACCGAAGACGACCTTCCCGAAGACTACTACAACACCCAGGGATGGGCCGGTCTCATCTCGCTCCCGCGCGAGCTCTTCCACCACCCCACCTCGACGCAGCTCGGCATCCGCCCCGCACAGGAAGTGGAGCGTCTCCGAGACGGCGCGCAGCACATCTGCATCACGCCGAGCGATCAAGCTGCGACGACAGTGGTCGAGCTCGCCGAGGTCGACAGTCTCGGAGCGATCTCTGTGGACGAGGTGGCCAGCCGCTCGTACGAGGTCGAGATGAAGCTCTCGGCGGGCCTGCCCGGTGTGGTGGTGGCGCACAGCAGTGACATGGCGACGCGCACGGTCGTCTATGTCACCGACTCGCAGCTTGTCGTCGACCGATCCCTGTCCGCGGGCAAGGAGGCGGTGCTCGCAAAGGGCCTCAAGGTCAACACGTCGACGCTGCGTGCACCGCTCGCCCCGACTGCCGATGACACTCATTCACTGCGTCTCTTCCTCGACAACTCGGTACTCGAGGTGTTTGTCGACGATGTTATTGCTCTCTCCACGCGCGTCTATCCCGACCCCGCCGACGTCGGCCTGTCCATCCTCCGGAGCTCCCACGCGCAGCAGGCCGACCTGGCTCCAGTCAACATCTGGCAGGGCCTCAGCAAGGCTCTTGTCGCCTAGATCCTACCCACTCCATCATACACTTTCGGCTCCATTTGCAAATTCGTTCTCATCACTTGCTCTTCCTGTCACCCCGGGTGCTCGGCTGTCTAACTACAATGTCAACGATTGTCACCGTATGCACAGTTCCGACGTCTGGATTTCCTAGTCTATGATGAATTGAGAGCTACAGTGTTGCGAGAGAGTGCATTTTAGAGTCCCTTTTCGGTGAGGGCGAAAGCGAACGAACGCACGGCGGTCCAGACGCCCTGTTTCTCGTTGCTCATGTACTGAACATCTGCTCCCGGAGCAGCCTTGAACACGAGCACCAGCGTCGCGGTTGGTGCAACGAACAGCACCTCTCCGCCGTCCTTCTTCTCGTGGAGTGTGATGATTTCCTGTGGGTACTGACCGCCCCTGGGTCCGCTGATGGTGTATTCCTTGCCGGCGATCTCGATGCTGCGCGTGCTAGCCTTGAGCTCCTCCTCGCTCACACTGGGTGCAGAGGCCTGGATGAAGATGTCCAAGATCGAGCGAATCGACTCGGCGGGGAACGACTTGGTGAATGTAGGCAGCGAGCCGTGAACTGCCCGGCAGTCGTCTCGGTCAAAGATCGCATAGTCCGCAATACCCGATGCGGGAGGAAGCTGAAGTTGCGCCAGCTGCGCAAAGTCAAGGCTGGAGAGTAGCGACGCACGCTGGTTCGAGTCGAGATCCGCAAGTGCGGCTTCGGTGCCAGAGCCAGTGTGTGGTCCGCGTGTAACGCCTCCGCCTGCCATGGTGTGTGTAGTCGAGTAAAGTGAGAGGAAGGGTAATGAGAAAGAAACTATGGAGAAAGGCAGACAGGACAAAAGCTTAGATGCTTGGGCTTATATACATATGGAGGGTCAAATGTTTGGCAGGTCAAGCACAGTCGCCTCCAGAAGCAAGGACGAGGAGTGACGCAACGCTTTCTCAGCCTCGACGAGGCCGTCGCCCTGTGGAGGCATGTCTGGACCCTGAACTCACCCTTCCCTCATCTTCTCAACACGCTCAATCTCTCGACGATCATCACTTCGCCCTGTGGCCCGCTCTGCCACACGCTCAGCTGCACGCACAGCTGCACACTGCCATCACGCAAGCAGCCCTGCCTCAGCAATGAGTGATGCTGAGTGAGAAGCGCTGCATTTCGGGTGAATGTCGGTGTGGCGGTCTCCTAGCCGAGCTGCACGCGCTGTCGACGGGGCTCACGTCAAAGATCGAGTCCGGTGTGTCAGCTACGGCCTCCACCTCGACCGCGCGCGAAGGGCTTGTCAGCATTACCTTTCTTTCACCGATGGACGGAGCCATCCTTCTTCTTCCACCCTGAATGGTGTGAGCCCGTATCTTAGCTTGAAACATACTTCGCTGGTGGTGACGGAAACGATTGCAGAATGGCTGCACGAAGACGTCTCCAAAGTCTGCAGAACAACGATCATGGGTACCATTGTCAATTTAGAAATAGGTTAATATCGGAGAAAAAACCACCAAAAAAAGGCTCAAAAAATAGGTTGCAAAATGCAACGTCAGCTTTGGGTTGCCTCTTGGCCAGGGCTCCCTGGCTGCCTCGGAGGGCATGGCTTCCACGACTAGCAGTGAAGTGCAACGACCCGCGATAGGGGCTCGCGACGCCTGGCTTAGCGGACTCTATACCTGCAGAACCGGACCCTATTACGTCCAGAACCAACGTCGCGCCCATGGCCCCGCAGCTCAGACACGAGGGCTCCTTCCGGGCCCTCGTCGCACGTCTAAGATAGGCAGCTCAATAGCAACAGAGTATAGCCGTCGATAACGTTGTTGACAGTGATATGTTCATGATCGCTAAAGAATTGCGGCAAGTACGCCTTTTCGATGAAGATCATACTTGCATTTCATAGACAAGCACGAGAGACGAAGGGTGATCTAAAGACTCGCGCTTCTGTCTCCGAGGCGTTCGATTCTGGCACGAGATGGCCGAGCTTCAGCCGCCAAGCGACAATAACCCTCAGGCCGGGAGGTTGAACCACTTGGCCTGGGCGCAGGAGAGGTAGTTGCTCACGTCCTGGCCGTCCTGAGTCTGGACGTCGACAGCACAGCACGTCTGGCCATTGTTGCCGGAAGTCGCCCAGTTGATGTTGATGATGTACTTGCCCACCACGAGCGAAGCCGTGCTGTCCTGATCTTGGTACAGTACAAAGCTCTTCCTGTCATCGGATATGAATCCGCTGAAGTGCGAACCAGGACCGGGAGTAAGGTCTCCGATGTCGGTGGTGAAGCAAGCCCGTTCGGCGTTGGCGTTGGCACAGTAGGCCGACACGGTGTAGTTTGGCGGCTGCTGAGGGTTCCACCCAGCCCTGACAAGTCCGGCAAAGGCCGTTGCCATGAGCATGACAGAGGTGAACGTCTTCATCGTTAAGTTCGAAGGAGTTTCAGGTGGTGCAAGCGGAGATTCTTGGAGGAAGAGGCCAGTGCCGATGGAGGTCTTTGCGTGAAAGTGCGCAAGGGGGCCCTTCCTTTATACTTTTCGATCCGCAAAGACGGCGCTGTTGCCACACAGCATCTGATCCCAGAGCAGTCTTTCAAATGAAGTCCAGCGACGATTTGGGTGAAATCGTGCACAGATCGCTCGTCGCCACGCAGTGGGCGTAATTCGGGGCGGAGTGTGCACCGCAGTCACAGCATTCCGCCCACCGTGAGAACGGATGTGGGTGTGGGCTCGACCACCGAGAACGCAAGTGGGCTCGACCGCCAGCCCAGATCAAAGTCAGGCGTCCCGAGGCGCCGGAAGGTCCAAGCGAAATAAAGCGCCGCCCAAGAATCGTGGGCGCAGCCCACCCTGTCGCCATAGACGAGCGTTCCAAATGCCGGGTTCGTTGCAGAATGTGGCGGCAAGTGGCTACTGTGTTCATCTACGGTTGTCGTCCGGCGACCAGCAGCAAGGTGGGCCCAAACCCGTGTGGGCACCAGCGCAGAAGAGTCGTCCATCGAACATGCGAACGCCGTAATGGCGAGCCACTCGAGCCGTATTGTTGGCTGGGCTCTGTTCCAAGCCACACTCGCTGAGCTCGAATGGAGAGAAACCTTCCGCGACCTTGAGTCGTCGCGAAGGTCGCCACCTTCTTCACCCGCTCCCACCATCTGACCTCTCTGCGACCTAATTACGACTCGTGACTCGGCGGACACCAACAGCGACGTGGTGCCAACATGGATGCCTCCCTAATCCCGCTATGGAGCGCGCCAGTGTACGTGTACGCGCCGACGCCGCCGCTGCTGCCCGTAAGCGTCGAGGATGCGGAGGGAACGACGTTTATTCTCATGCTGCTGCTCGTGCTGCTGTGTGGCTTCAACGCTGCGCTGTACGCCGTGTATCTGTACCTATTCTGCGGAAATAAGCGCGACTCGCTCGTGATCCAAGCCGCCGCTTTCGTGTCGGTGTCATGCAGCATCGTACTTGCCGCGATTGCCTCCAAGGCTGCATACCACCGCACGCTCGTCGAGCTGTTCACGCAGCCCGGGTTCGACATCAACACGATCGAGTGGTTCGTACCCCTCTTCCACGCATTCCAGGCCATCCCTGTGGCTATCGGACAGGTGTACTTTATCCTGCGCATCGCCAAGCTTTTCGACACACGGCGGGCGTCGATCCGCACAAGTGTGTGTGCGGCGATGGCTGGGGTGACGGCGCAATTCGTGCTGATGGTGTGGTTCGGAATGGCGTTCTGGACTGTAAAGTACAAGTCGCATCTACTCAACCCGCACAAGCGACACTGGATACACGGCATCATCTCGGCATGGGCGGTTATGTTCATCCTACTCGAGGTCGCCATGACCCTCACGACGATGGCAAGGCTCGCGATCCTGCGTCGCCAGACAAGCATGGATGGCGCACGCCGCGTGCTGTTCAACCTCGCCGTCTACTCGCTCCAGGGTCAAGTTCTTCTGACCACGTGCTCGTTTACCTCGGTCTACCTCTTCCAGCACTCGGCTACCGGGTGGTACTCGCCGCTGTACCTCACGAGTGGTGGTCTGTACACGCTTGTGCTGCTGGCAAATCTCATCTACAGGAGCGCGGTCAGCAATGCGATGACCAATTCGCGGATGCAACCCTCCGTGCGCACGCAAGAGTACCATCTTAGCCACGTCAACACTTTCCATGCTTCGGTGCGGCCGGATCCCGAGTCGAGCACCAGCAGCGTAAAGGATGCAGGTGCAGCGGGGGATCTCGAACGACCCCAGACGGCAACGACGATCCAGTCGGTCCATCCAAGGCATTTTGTCCACTCGCGCAACCCGGTCCCGGCGCATTCAAGGGCTAGCGCGCCGCTGCCGGTCATGATCGTCACCGAGCGCAGCACCGAAGTGTCTTCGCCCCCTCCGTTCAATCACCGCTCGACCATGTAGCCGCACTTCTTTCGATAGATCCACTGTCGCTTCGTGTCCTTGCCGTTGTCCCATAGATTCAATGAACCAGAGTTTGGTTCCGCCCCGAGCAAGCGTGGTGTGTATTGAATCGAACGGCGTGCGCATCAACCAACGCTGCTCCGACTAAACTGCTGTAATGGGACCCTGTGCACTCTGAATCTTTGCGAGGCGCCGAGCAGGATCAGTGACTGGCCGACGTGACTCACACTGTTTGTGTCGAGCCGCGTGGTGACAGACATGCGCACAGAAGACACGCTGGCACCATCGCAGCCAGTCACATGACCACGCATGCAGCATCGCCACTAAGCACTTGGTCTCGTTGCTCTGCAATGGGTACCCCGACCCGAGCGCTGCTGTTGCCCGGTCGAGTTCGCCAAGGTCGCAAATCTGTACGTCTTGGGCACTCGAGGGGCGGCTCATGACCGCTGAGCGAAGTGTGTTTGCAGGCGCTGACATTGCCTCTCCATCACGGTTGACGACAGACCTGAACAGTGGGAGCATAAGGATGCGGATACATTTAGCATCGCTGGTGCTCCGTTGCACATACGAGCATGCGCACCAGACCTGTTCGCACACCTGGCACCACCCGGACATGGGCGCGCTCAAGAATGACCAGCTCGACCAGCAGGTCCAGCTCGTGCAGGAAGCGCTGTGCAAGATTCTTGGTGTGGTGCCCGCTTGCACCTGTGCGCGTCGCGATCATCTCGATCCGGCTAAGTACTTCAGCAACTGATGGGGCTATGGGCAGTCGGCGATGTAAAGGCTCGCCCTCGACACAGAGCTTACTGCATATTACGCCAGATCTTATGACCAAGCTCTGTGTCAACTCGAGCTCAATACATCCTCCGTGTGACCTCCTTCTACTCTGCCCGTCTGACAAGACTCAGTTTCAGACGGAGTCCAAACAAAACTGCTTAATGACCCTCTAACCGCAACGCTCGAACCAAGCTGTGTACGAATCGGAGCCAGCCCCTGAGCGACCCTCGAAATCTGACGAGAGCTCACACCTAACCCTCTGAGTGGCCTTCTAAACGAGGCGCTCTAACTAATTCTTGCATTGATCGGAGCGCATACACACGCTCCAAGTGACTTTCTGACTGTGTCTATCGTACCTCACACCCAACCTCTCAATGTCCTTCGAATTCAGCTAGGGCAACATAGAGCTTCCCACGTCCGTGTGCCCCTCTGAGCAAGCTCTGTGTCGACCGAGACTCACACATAGCTTCCGCTTGAGCCTCGGATCATGGGCCTGTCAACAAGCTTGGTGTTTACCGAAGCATACACAGTCGAGCACATCTGTTATTCAGCAGGCAAGCTCTGTGTCGACCGAAGCTCACATACAGCTCCCAAGTGATCCTCCGACTGTGTCAGCCGTAGCCCACACACAGCCTCTCATCGACCCACTAACCGTGATGCTCTATCCCAGCTCTGTCTCAACCGGAGCGCACACCCAGTCGAGTTCATCTTCCATTTTGATGTTTCGACGAGTGGCAGAGACGACGCTTCGTGACCTGCGCACCGTTCGGCAAGCAGGCGAAAGTCTTGCGCAACCGACGCACAAGCACCGCTCCTCTGTGTGAACCTCTGCAGTCGTCACACGGATTCCAACTTCTTCCGACGTTTGCTCTACACACACACTACACAACCCGATGATGGCCAACACAATCAATTACATCTGCAAGCACGGTCGCCGACACAAGCGAAGACTACGGCCGTCCGGCTCGCACTCGCGCTATCGTACCGAGGTACGACCCGCACTATCGCTGGAGGTACTCCTCCCAGGCGGCATGCTCAATCTGCGCCCTGGGCGCCTCGCGACCGGTCCAGCGCTTGAACTGGTGGCATCCCTGCTCGAGCAGGATCGTGATGCCGGGGCACGTGGACCAGAGCTTCCTGCTGGGCGCCTTGGTCGTGTTCGTGCCGATCGCAAGCTCGGTCTGCGTGTTGACCTGCTGCGCAAGCTGGAGCAGGCTCGTCGAGTACGGCTTGTAGCTCATGTCGATTGCCACGCCGCCTGCCGGGTTGCGCAGGATGGACGGCGGCAGGTAGATCAGTCCCTTGGCAGCGCTGTCAAGCGTAGTACCCTCGGCAGGGATGTTGGAAACGACGACGCTAGGCGCCTCCTCGGGCGCCAAGGCTGCAATCTCGTCGAGCGACGACAGCACCTCGACGTTCCACTCGACGGGCAGGACCCTGACCAGCGACTCGGCGTTGGCATACGTGCGGTTGTAGAGCAGGATGCGCTTGACACCAAGGCGGTAGAGGGCAAAGATCGCAGCACGCGCAGAGCCACCAGCACCAATCACCAGACCCGTCAGCTTGGGGTTGGCCAGGTGCACGGTGCGCAGCGAGCGCCTCGCAAGCGTCTCGATCGCGATCCAGTCCGTATTGTCACCCACGAGCGACGTGACTTTGCCCATGGCGTCGCGCACGGGGATTACCGTGTTGACCGCGCCGATCGCCTTGGCCTCGTCCGTCACGCGGTCGAGCAGTCGAATGATGGCGATCTTGTGCGGGATGGTGACGCTGGCGCCGCCAAAGTTCGGAGCGTGCACGAAGGCGTCCAGGGTCTCTCCGACCTCGCGCGTCTGGAGCAGCTGGTAGTGGTGCGGCAGTCCGAGCGCTGCAAACCCGGTGTTGTGCAGCAGCGGGCTCAGACTGTGGCCAATAGGGTTGCCGAACAGCGCGAACTGCTGCGGCTCGGTCTTGCCGATCAGCGTCAGAGCGTTCTGAACTTCACGGAACGAGAGCTGGCCCGGAGCCGCCTTGAAAGGCATGGCCTCGTGCGTGATGGGCGTGAAGACGGGGTTGACGATCCTGCTGAACTGACCCGCCGCACCCATGTTGACCGCGAGCAACGGCTTGGTAGCTGACGCCGACACCTTGGTGCGGAAGCGCTCGAGGCTGTAGTTGTCGTCCATCGAGTTGGCCTTGCCGATGATCTTGGCAATGTCGCCGAAGCGGCAGGCACGCTCGTAGATCTTGGCCGTGGCGTCGCTCTCCCAGTCGAGCTTTCCGCTCCAGTCGTGGAACGAGCCAATGATCTGGCTGGAGCCCTTGGCGGCCACGACAGCAGCCAGCGCATCGTCGTCCCAGCCGAGCTCCAGGTCGACGTACTCGCAGCAGTGGCGGAGGGCGACGCTGATGAGCTCAAAGTACTCCTTCTGGTAGCCGTCGGGGAACATACCGCCCTGCGAGTGCGTGCGCACGGTGAAGACGATCGGCAGCGATGTGCGGTGTCGCAGGGCTGCAAGCTGACTCTTGACGTACTCGACATCAGGCAGCTGGGGCGAGGTGACAGGCTCGCCGGAGGCATTGAGTAGGTCAGCACGGAACTCGAGCGCATCCGCACCCGACTCCATGCTCCTGATCAACTCGAGCTTGGGCACGACATCGGGGAAGGTGAGGCTGAGAAAGTAGGTGCGACGGCCGGCGTTGCGGCTGTCAACGACCAGATCGTTGACCTGGTTCGTATCCTGTCCCGTGACGAACTTGAAGAATCGCGCCACCTCGGACTCGAGTCCGAAACGCTTCTGGATCGTGAAGGACGGGTCGGGCACGTTAATCGCGGACGGCTGGACGGCCAGCAGCTCGCCTTCCGAGTACGAGACGAGCTCAAAGGACGAGCACTCGCGGAACCAGGGGTCGCGACGACGGAAGACGTCCATGATGGGCTCGCCATAAGCAGGGCGATCGCTGGTAGAGAGGAAGTTGACGATGGCATCCGTGTCTCGCACAATGTACACCACGGGGCCTCGGTTCTTGGCGTAGTCGGCCAAGATGTTGCGGCACGCCTCGGTCTCGACGACGCCGCCACCAAGCGAGATAAGCGCGCCGGTAGGATGGCGGTGCATCAACTCCTCGAGCACCTCGAGCTCTTTCTGACGGAAAGCAGGCCAGCCGTACTGCTTGACATAGTCACCCAGGCCATCCTTGACACCTAGCTTCTCGTTGAAGACGACATCGGCGTCGAGGAAGGTTCGTCCAAGCGCAGCAGCGCCGATTGCGCCGAGGAAAGTCTTGCCCGAGGCACGCATGCCGATGCAAATGATCGTAGCATCTTTGCTGTATTTGCGCGGGAGCAGCGTGCGGCCGCCGGCAAACTCGGCGAGTGAGGCAGGCTGCTTGCCGTTGGCGCTTGGCTTGGCCACACTCGCCTTGCTGAAATGAGAAGGCGAGATGCAGAGGCTGGGCGAGCACTCGGGATCGACGCCATGGGCACGGATGCCAAGCTTGCGCTCGAGGTCATCCCACCAGTTGGGCCAGGTCTTCTCGACACAGCGCTTCTCCTCGAGAATGGCACCGGGAGCCAAGCTTGCGAGCACGGAGAAGGCCATGGCGACGCGATGGTCGTCGTAGCAGTGGACACGAACGTCGGGGCGGAGCTGACGGTAGTCGATGCCAAAGATCTCGAGGCCATCCTCGTGCTCTTTGGTGTCGACGCCGAACTTGGCGAGCTCGTCCATCATGGCACGGATGCGGTTGCACTCCTTGACGCGCTGGTTTGCGATGCCGGTGATGCGCGTAGACGGGCGAGCAGTCGAGGTGGAGCCGTTCGCCGGCGGCTGGGCAGCGACGGCGAGGAGGACCGAGGCAGTGAGGAAGGCGTCGGTCATAGGCTCCATGTCGACCAGGCCAATCTGGCGCAGGTTACCGACCTTGGGTCCAACGACGGTGGTGGATGTGGCGGTCTGGACGACGGTGCAGCCCATGGGCTCGAGCACCTCCTTGGCGAAGCGGGCGTCACCCTGGAGAGAGGCGGAGCCGATGTTGGGGACGGTGCACTCGGTGCCCGTGATGGCGGCGATGGCCAGCGGGTAGGTGGCACTGCTGGCGTCGCTCTCGATGTCGTAGACGGCGGGCGAGACGTAGCGGCCCTTGGGGATGCGGTAGGTGTTGGAGAGGCGGCCGGTGGCAGGATCTGCGAGGCGCTCGACCTTGATGCCGAAGGTGGCCATCATGGCGATAGTCATGTCGATGTAAAGCTGCGAGATGACCTGACCGCCGACGAGCTCGAGCACGACCTCTTCGGCGGCGTAGGGCGCGCAGAGGAGGATGGACGAGACGTACTGGGACGAGATGGTGGCCGAGAGCTGGATCTTGCCGCCCTTAAAGCCGCTGGCGGTTCCCTTGACGGCGAGAGGCAGGCAGCCCTGGCCCTCGAGGTAGTCGATCGAGGTGCCGTTGGATCGGAGGGCGTCGACGAGGGCACCGATGGGGCGCTCCTTCATGCGCTTGTTGCCGGTGATGACGACGGGATCCTGGGTGCCGTCGTTTCCGACGAGGGTGACGACGGTGGCCATGAAGCGTGCAGCGGTACCTGCGTTCTGGAGGTAGATGTGCTTGTTGTTGGCGGGGCGACGGAGGTCGCCGTTGTTGCCGTGGACGACGATGGTCTCTCCTCCGTCCTCGAACTCGAAGCGAGCGGCGTGGAGGTCTGTGAGACCGGCCATCATGACCTGGGTGTCGTCCGAGTGAAGCATGTTGCGGAGTCGGCAGGTGTTGCCGGCAAGAGCAGCGAGGACAAGCGCGCGGTTGGAGATGGATTTGGAGCCTGGAGTGGAGAGGGTGACCTTGGCGTTGTTGGGCTGCTCGAGGATGGGCGTGACGGTGGCGCCGAGGGAGAGAACGCGGCGGATGATGTCGTCGCTGACGGTGGAGGCCATGTCTTCGACGGTGTCGCCGATGGAGTTAAGAAGGACGATCTTCTTGTTGGAGCCCGAGTTCTTCTTGTCGACCTTCATGATGTCGAGGAGGCGGTCGACGGTGACGTCGAGGGACCTGGGAAGGCGGGTGACGCGGGAGTCGGAGAGCGAGACAGGGAGGTCGTACTCCTTGAGGCAGCGAGTGAGGCGACCGATGGCGACCTGGCTGAGGCCGTGCATGTAGCGCGCGACCTCTGCCTCGAGGATCATGCCGATGGAGACGCACTCGCCGTGGAGCATCTCGGGGGTGAGGACGGCCTCGATGGCGTGGCCGATAGTGTGGCCAAAGTTGACAAGGTTGCGAAGGCCGGTCTCCTTTTCGTCGATGGTGACGATGTGCGCCTTGACGCCGACGGAGCCGCGGATGACGTCGAGCAAGAGCGACTGGGATTCGGTGCGCGTGTCGAGGGTCCTGCCCTGGTCGAGCGGGGCGTCGGAGGCGAAGGGCCCAAGGACGGCGGAGCGGATGGCGGGAGCGCTGGACTCGAGCTTGGCAAAGTCGATGGGGTCCCAGATGGCGGCTGTCTTGACCACCTCAGCCATGCCGTTGCTGAACTCTCGGGGCGGGAGGGTCTTGAGCCAGGCAGCGTCGATGAAGACGTAGTTCGGCTGGTGGAAGCTGCCGATGAGGTTCTTGCCGAGCGGGTGGTCGATGGCGGTCTTGCCGCCGACGGCCGAGTCGACCATGGCGAGGAGGGTGGTGGGGATCTGAACAAACTTGAGACCACGCATGAAGGTGGCTGCGACGAAGCCGACGAGGTCGCCAATCACACCGCCGCCGACGGCGAGTACGACAGCGTCGCGAGTGACGCGGTTCTCGAGCATCCAGTCTTCGATGTCGTTCTTGCCCTCACGCGACTTGGAGCCCTCGCCCGGAGGGATGACCTTGGTGAGGAGCCTCCAGGTGTGGGTGGAGTTGAGGGCGTCGGCGGCCTTTTCGAACTCTCTGCGGAAGGCGGTGGTGACGCTGCATCTGGACTCGAGGTTCTGGTCGGTGATGAGGACGTAGGTGGAGGAGGGGAGGGTAGCCAGAAGGGTCTTTGCGATGTGCGGGATGAGGTGGTAGCCGAGATGGATGGGGGTGTCGAGGCAGCGGAGGGTGTGGATGGTGGCGCCCGAGAGTTTGTCGGTGGATGGCGGGGCGTGGTAGGAGGGCGTTTTTGTCCTGAGCACGGGCTGCGCTGGCTGCGAGGCAGCCGACTGAGCCGAAGCCATTGTGAGGAAGGACGCAGCAAAGAGCTGGCGAAACGAGGAGGTGAGAGGCCAAGTTTGGACGAGTTCGGCTTTTGGGGGTGCCTTTGCGGATGTTGGCAGGATGCGAGCTGGGTCTGCGAAGCGATAGGAGTGTTGGATGCAAAGCAGATGGCTTCGTAGGCCGCGGCAGCGACGATGGATGTGGTGGAGAGGCATGGAGGACAGAGTAGAATGCCCGACCGACTAGGCGAGCACCGGCCAAGAAGATTCCAAAGTCACGCGCCATTTCGCTTCACTCTCGCTCTGCCTGACTCGTGCCCAAATGAAGCCAGGCGGCAGCCACGGTGGAGCCACTCTCTGCACCTGCATTGCACCCACTGCAGCCGCACCGTGCCTATTTCGCATCACCATGTGCTGTAGCCAATTTGGCCATTGAAAAATCGCCTCCCTCTCGCAGTCCCTTGACCAGGCCAAAGTGGCGATAAGATTGTCCAGACAGTCACCGATCTTATGCTCTGTTCAACGACACACAACTGTCATGCTCGAAAATCGATCGAAGGGAAGCGGTTGAGGCTATACGAGGCTCGCCAGTGCAATTGCCGAAGCCGCATTGGCTGATGCAGTGCCGCAGAAAAAAGTGACTCGAAATATCGGCTGGCTGTGAGAGCTGCAGCCGCTGCTCAATTTCATGCAAAAGCGAAAGTCGCACCCGAAAAATTGCAGCCATGGCTGTCATCTTCTTATCGCGCGAGAAAATGCACACGCTGCGAGAGCAACCGACGATGATGAATCTTCCGATGATGAATGGACCGATGATGAATCGCTGCATTGCAATGCGGAGATGCGGTGTACATGTGGCAATGTCTACTTGCTCGACCTGCCGATCTTCTTGCCCTCGAAGCCCGGACGCGCCTTGCCAAACGACGGACGCTTGCCCTTGGGCGTCTTGCTGGCCGAGAGCGTCGAGGAGGAGCCCTTCTTGCTGCCGCCCTTGCCGCCCTTGGCGGCCTTGCGTGCGGCAATGTTGTCCTGGCGCTTCTTTTGGCGGTCCGCCTGCTGCTTCTGCTCGGCCTGCGCACGCTCGTTCCACGCCTTGCTCGACTTTTCCTTCTGCTTGTCCTTGCGCTTGGCCGCCTTCTTGAGCAGCTTCTCGTCGTCGCGGATCTTGACGCCCGTCGCCGACGCCAGCACCTTGTCCCACTTCTTCTGCTCGTCCAGCTCCGTCACCTTGGCCGACAGCGCCTCGGGCGCATCGCCCAGCTTCTCAGCCAGCTTGGCCCGGCGCGCCTCGTCCTGCTTCTTGCGGTGCTCGAGCATCTGCAGCGCCGCCTTGGGATCCGACGGCAGCGCGAGCTTGCTCTTCTTGCCGCCCGCACCAGCCTCGTCCGGGAGCGCCGCACCCGCCGCACCCACAGGCTTGAAGTTGAGCGAAGAAAAGTTGAGCGAGTTGCCGTTGACGTCAATGTCGGCGGCACCCGAGCCAGCCGCGCGCTTGTCTTTGTCGCCGTAGCCTGGCTCGGCCACAAGCAGCGCTGGCGCCTTGGTGGCCACGTTGAACGTGCTGCCAGACTTGGTGCCGTTGGCAGCGGCGCCGTTGGCGTTGGCAGCCTTCTTGGCCTTGGCCGCCTGCTTGGCTGCCGCCTTGGCCTCCTTCTTCTCCTGCTTCTTGCGCTCGCGTGCGTCGAAGCGTTGCCTGCGACGCTCCTCGAGCAGCTCGTCCTTGGAGCTGATCACACTGCTGCCGTCCTCGGATCCCTCTTCAGCGTCGGCAAGCAGGCCGCCGCGCTTGCGCTGCAGACCGGCAATCTTGGCATGCAACTTGGCGCGCAGCGCATCGATCGACGCCTTGCGCTCGCCCTCGGTTTGGATAGGCTTGGCTGCCG